AACACTTCCTGGAGCCTCCACTCTCCAGTCTCCACCCCTTTCTCTTTTTGCGAAGCTGGCCACTTGTGTGTTGTGAGCATCTCTTTTGAGTCCATCCGAGCACTCACAGAGGCTGTCCCTTCTCTTCTCCTGCCCCCGCCCCCGTTAACAGGCTCACATTTCATCCTTCTGGAGTCTTTTAAATCCCTTAGAAGTTTAGCATTTCTTGCCCAAGTCTCCCTGTCCCCATTCCAATGGAATATTCACTTTCTCTGATCTTCAACTGACAACATATCTGCATGTCTATAAACTCTTGTCTTATGCTCCTGTGTATACTTGAAGCCTAGCATAGGGTCCTCGTTTCAGTACACACCACATAGGCATCCACCAAATAAAGAAAGGGATTCCCCCTTGGCATGTATTGATTACTCATTAATACATGGTAGTTTAATCTACATGACAGTTCTTGTGTGGTTATGTTCAGGGTGACAGACCCTGGGACATGGAGAGTCCAGAGCAGAGAATTCATGGAGTCACTAACGATTGTTATTTTTCATTTCTGAAGGAACTGCAAGTGTCCTTTTATGTAAAGATCATTGAGTCAGGGTTGGTTCTGTTTGTTGCTCCTACTTCCCACAGACTCTGCAGCCTCTTGCTTTGGTCTTTTATGAAACAGTAATATCAGTTATTCCCTCCGTTGATGCTTTATTTCAAAGATTGTGTCTTAAAGGGTATAGGTTCCTGAGTACAGTTGGTCACCTAGATCATTACTATGTTTTCAGCGGTCCCATTGCTTTGGATTTAATTATTTGAATCCTTTAAATTTTATTTTGTGTAGAGTGTGAAGCAAAGGTCTTTTGTCCCACCAAGTGTGGCAAATTTCCCCAAAACTACTTATTGAAAAATCCAGTTCTTCCTATTGGATTATGGTAACTTAAAAATAATTTGCTGAATGCTTCTACACCTCAGACTATTTGGTGGCTTTTGTGTAAGCTCTCCAACATTATCACAATATTTCTTAGTTTCTTTCTTTCGTGGCGAGTTAGGTCCTGCATGTTATAGACACTTTACTCGTAGTAATACTCCTTTTCTAACATTATTTTGCCTCATCATTAACTATTTTCCAACAATAGAATATCTTACTATTTTAAAGTATGTGTTGGGATAATTATTTAAATTATAAATATGCCACATGTTTATTACATAAATTTAACAAATATATAAAATTAAAATAATGAAACTCTGGAAATATCAGTGTTTATTCATTTCCCTCTCGTTTTTATTCTGTGAGAATCTGGGCCATACAGCTAGGATCATATGACAAGATAGATTGCATCCTTCCCCTGCCATGCCTGCTGTGGTGATCTGAGTGTGAACTATTCCCCACAGGCTTGTGTATCTGAACACTGCTCCCCACTTGGAGGTGCTAGTTGGTGCTATATGGAACCTCTAGGAGGTGGGACCTTGCTAGAGGAAGTCCATCACTGGGGATTTGCTTTGAAGTTTGTAACCTGGCCTTCCTTCTTGTTCTCTCTCTGTGTGTGTCTGTCTCTCTGTCTCTGTCTCTCTGTCTTTTTGTCTCTCTCTGTCTCTGTCACTGTGCCTCTCTGACTTTCTCTGTCTCTTTTTCTGTCTCTGTCTCTCTGTCTCTGTCTCTAACACACACACACATACACACACACACACACACACACACACACACACACACACACACACACACTTTCTGCTCCTTGTGTGAAGATAAAATGTGACATCTCTGCTTTCTGACTGCCAAGTTGCCCTCATACTTCTGCTCCCATGATTTCCCCACTCTGTCTCTCTAGAACTGGAACCTTGCCTTTGGTTATAGCATTTTAACCCCCAACCTACTTTATATGCATTTTATATCTAATTATGTATAAAACTGGAAGCAGGGAACGAACAGAGAACATACACCCCAAAGTCATCCCCTGACCTCTACATGTGTGCTGTGGCATGCATACCCAGAGACATGTCATGCACACCCTCACATTCAATGGCAATAATAAATAATTTAAAAAGCAAGTTTGAAATCATCTTGTATCATATTCCCTTGTATTTAATGCTTTAAACTGTATTTAGTGATGCCCCTGTGGTGGATCTTTAAATATGGCAATAATATCATATTTTTGCTTCCCTTAAACATCATGGTAATGAAAATCTGTGTAAATATATTTTTGTTCACATTTGATCATTTCCTTAGGGTGTATTTTATAGATCTGGGTCAACAGGTATGCACAATTTTAAGGCTCCAAATTGCTTTTTAAAAAGATTATACCAATTTAAACTCCCACTAGCAGTGTCTGAAAATGTCTGTTTCTTGCCAAAACATGGGTATTATTGTCTCATTGAGATTTTCGTTGAGGTTATGTTAAATCTATAGATCAATTTAGAAAAAAATTGCCTCCTTTGCAATATTGATTTGTTTCTTCCAGGAAGATGGTGTGTCCCCACTTAATTAAATCTTTGTTGTATATCTCTCAGTGAAGTTTTGTTGCTTTCTTTATATAAATCCTCCCCATTCGTTATTGGGTTTATTTCCAAGTGACTCACTTCTTTTTTTTCTTTTGGCTATTGCGAATGGCATTTTATAAATGTATATCATGTACATTCCCTCAGTGTCCTACAAGCATTTGACCCTTGATGGAAAATAAAATTCTATGTTCAGTTGGCTTGGAAAAGGCTATAACCTTCACTTAGAAGCTCTCATGATAAATTCATGAAAAACTGAAAAACCCTATTTGTAAAGACATTCTATGAACATTATTTACCACCAAGTAGCACATGCAGAGCATATTTGATGACAGACTATTTCTTTTTATGCAAAACATAAAATCTTAATATAAAATCTATAATTATTCAATAGGCTGATATGCTAGGAAGTCTACTGTTACAGACTGACAAATGGTTCTGGTTCTTCAGTGCTCCCTTTAACGACACCATTACACGCAATGTTGAAGTGTTATGCTGTCACTCTCAGCTTAGGGGCGTGATTTTGGCAAAGAAGATAGTGGCAAGCAGAAAGCATATAGGGGATTTCAAAGTAGGCTTGTTCACAGCTGCACTCCTCTGCATCTGTGGGAAAGATGTATTTGGTTACTGTGTTGGGAGAAGGGATTTAGGAGGCAGGGCTGAGTTAACGCTACTGAGATCATTTAATCCTAAACTTAGTCAAGCCTTTTCTGTGTAGGTGTGTTTACATGGGTGATCTTTCCTATATGTGCATGTGTGGCGGCTAGAGATCAACATGAGATATAAGGGCTTTCAGTGAACTGGAGGCTTGCTCTTTAGACTAGGCTGGCTGGCCAGTGAGCCCTGAAATCTGTTTCTGCTTCTCACCAGCCTTGGCTTTTTAGTGGATGCTGTGGATCCAAATGCAAGTCCTCATGGCTGTGCCGCAGCAAGCGTCTTATCCACTGGCCCATCTTCTCAGCCTGATCAACTCTCTTCTTAAACATGAACCTATTCAAGACCAGGAAAGCCACTCAGCTGGCTTTTAGACATATGAGCCAAATACATATTACAGGGGATTGAACCTAGGTCTTCCTGAATACTAGACAAACACTCTGCCACTGGGTTCACTGTGCATTGATCCCTTGATCAATGATGACTGGTTGTTTTTAGGGCTCTAAGTTTGAGTGACTTGTTGCCTAGCATTACTGTGGCAGGAGATACATGATATACCTACTTTGATTAGGGTATGAGCTAAGCAGTAGGTTTAAATGCCATAGCCTTTATTATATTGAAGAGATCTTTCATTCCTACTTTTCTAAATACTTTTTATCATAAATATTATTCATTTTTATTTTATTTGGATTTTCTGAGAATGGATGTCACTTTGTAGCCAAGATTGGCCTGGAACTTCCTATACAGCCCAGGCTGGCCTCCAAGTCACAACAATTCTTAGGCCTCAGTCTCTCATGTGATACAGTTACAGGTGTGAGCCACCACATCCAGCTCTACTGAGATTATTTTAAGCTTTTCTAATTGATGTGGTATTTTATATTAATAGACATCCTTAGAATAACTTGTCTTGGCCTTCCTGTGGTAAATTATTCTTAGTAACAGTTATCATTCTTTGATGTAGTCTTGAATTCCATATGTTAGTATTTTCCTTGGGAATTTAGACTTCATTTGTCCAAAAGATTAGCTTATAGTTTCCTGTTTTGGTTCAACTTTTTCAATTTGGGTGTAAGGCATATGTCCACTTTGTACAATGACTCAATTAGCTTTTTGTCTCTGTCAATGCTGTCACTCAAGTTTTACAATACAGAAATTATCTAGTCCTTGAAATACTATTAAATGCATTGGATCAGACAGTCTTTCTGGTAGTTCATTAATTATTTAATCATTTATTTGTTTATTTTATAACCACTGATTATTGGTTCTAAGGTATCCTTATTTTGAATTTTTTTTATACAACTCATGTGTCTCTTGTGATTATAACCAATAATGTATATTTTATTTCATTCATTGTTAAAAACTACTTTTCAATAATTCTGGAGCAAAGTCTGATATAATAAGTGAATAGCAAGACAGTCAGTCACTTGAGCAAGTACAGCTCAATGTCAGACTTATGTGACCTAACATTTCTGTATATAGCAGTTTGACTGACTATATGTGTGACCAACATGTGTTCTCACTTTGAGAAGCTAGGTAGTGGGGGTGCCTGACACTTTGTTGTACTTTTTACTGTTGGAGAAGACAGGCTAAGAGAAGTGATGTGGACTCAGGAGTGTTGGAATATTGAATGCTTTTACATGATTTATGGACATAATATATGAGAATACTTGAATCTTTTAAAAACTCTAGAACCAGATCATCATATTTATTGCCTTAAGTTGTGATTAATATGGGATTTGAGGTCTAATGAATATACTGGTCTGTATTAATTGTCAACCTAACAGAATTTAGAATCACCTAGGATTTAGGCTGGTGGGCATGCCTGTGAGGGATTATCTTGATTATGATAATTGATATGGGAAAACCCATCTTAATTGCAGGACCATTGCCTGGATAAGGGATCATGGGCTGTACAAAATGGAGAAAGTGAGCTGAACATGGATTTTGCATTTATCGTCCTGTTACTTGATTGTGGATGCAATGTAACCAGCTGCCTCAAGCTCTGGGGGTCTTGACTTCCTCATCATGAAGGATTGTGCCTTGAACCGTAAGATAAATAAAACCATTTTCTTTGAAGTTGCTTTTTGTCACAGCATCAGGAAAAGAAACTAAGACAATAAACCATGTACGGCCTACCTTTTAAAAATCTGGTCCGTTTCCTCAGTGGCTTCAAGATAAACTGAAAAAAGTTAAGCGCTCACTGCCCACCAAGTACAGCAGAGCTTTCTAGTTTGGTGAACTAGGTTAATTGTTGAGTGCTTAGGTTTTGGCATCTAGTTCTATCAACAACAATAGTAAATATTTATTCATAGCTTACCAGATGCCACACACTGTGCTAAGCACTAAAACCATATCCATTTTGCAGACCGAGAAAGGGAAGTATGAATGACAACATGAATTCTCTGTGCTCACCAGCTGCTGGGACTCATGCCCAAAGAGTTGGGTATAAACTATGCTGTTGGTCTGTCATGACACTGCCTCTAACTCCTTTTGATTCTACCCTTTCCATGTGTTTACCACCGTGTCTGTTTCAGAGCTGGGCTTTTAATAAGTGCTAGATAGTTTAGATTTACATGAGACTAGAAAAAGTGAGGAAAGCCAGAAGTTGAAGAGTAAAAATTGAAGAGATATCATAAGATGAATTTGTGGCCTCCCAGTCAAGACTAATCTCAGCCATGCAAACAGAAATAACAGAATGTCTTTCTTATGTCACTGTTGGAAGGATTTTCTTAGTCAGGTCTGATACATACTTAATACTAGTAAACACTTCTTGTTAATTATATTGATGACCCTAAAACCAAATCTCTGCCAGCAGGTATGGTTTCTTTGAAGTCACTTTGCTTCTTGATACTTAGTGTCCTCATTTGTTAGACAGGGGCAACTTCATGGATCATATGATCATGTGATCTGTGACCCATAGTGGACATTAAAAATATGAGAATGCAAGGTAAAGGTCACTGATGAGCTAGGTATTTCTTTAGGGTAGCTGAGAACTCTTGCTACCACTTGTCATGAAGGCAGCTGTTCATCCAAATCAGCTCCCTTCATTCACCTCAAGTATCTGTATATTGATAACTTGAGCTGGGGTTAAGTCCAGAGTAGTATCCACAGAAATTTCCTACATATCACATTCAGTGCCTTCATGGCTACTCAGGGACAGGATTGATAAATTGGACAGACACACAAAACCCAAGATACTCAGTTAGATTTGACTTTTGAATACATAATAACGGTTTAGTAAAAACATGTCCCATAAGCACTTAGAATAATTACTTGTCATTTAAACTCAGTCCCCTGCTTTCTTGACACCATAGCCACTCTCTCAGATGCAAAGGGTGCAGAGAATTTGCATTTGGTCAACCTGTCCCTGAAAGTCAAACACCTGAGCTCTAAAACCTCTGCTTTTGTTGCTCTTTCTTGGGAGCAAAGGACAGACTAGCTAAGTGATAGTATTTGTGTACTATAAATTACTAGAAAGAAGAATATCTCTTGATTCAATAAGGCCATTATTATATCTTGAGTAAAGAACGATTGATTATCCAGACTGTGGTTTAATGGAAATCTGTATCTACAACCTATTGTTGCTGTTGAGTTTGAAGTAAATATGTTCTAATAACCAACTGGTATTTATTTAATGTACAATAACTCGCCTGCTAAGCTTAAATGAAATGCGCAGTTAATTAAAACCATCTCTGTACCGTGTCCTCTAGGGGAAAATGTTTTACACACAATCTGAGTGGGAGATTTTTTTTTTAACCTTCTCTTCACAACTGAGCCCCTGTTGGGAGATTTTAATATGATCTGTTTGGGGGGTTGTCTTGAAAATAGATTTGCTGGGCAATTTTCATCATGCTTGGAGTCATAGAAATCCTATTTATTTATCTACTGTGGCGAAAGCTTCAGGGAGCTCACAAAGCAAAAAATCCTAGGTTAGTGACCTAATCTGGCCACTTGTGGCTGGGGTCATATGTGGGTTTGCCTACAGTTCTGGTGTTAATATATAATGTTCTCCCACAAACTTACATGTTGAAGGTTTAGTGGAGCTGGTGGCAGGCACTATTTTGGGAGATTGTAGAAATTTTGTGAGGTGGATAATAGCCAGAGGAGATATGCCATTGGGGGTACACCTTTGAAGGTTTTACTCAGTTTCCAGTTTTCTTCTTTCTCTGCCTCCTAGTGGGACAGGAAGGAAGCACCTCTCCTGACATAGGCTTCTGCCTCCTTATTGTTCTACCCAGGTGTATGGGGCCAAGCTATCATGGACCAAACTCTCTGAAACTGTATCAGGAAAGTAGATCGTTCTTCCTTCTCAGTTGCCTGTGATGGGTATTCTGTCACAAGGACAAGGAAAATAACATATACTTGCCAGCTTGCAGCTCGGTCTAAATCTATTCCTTTTCTGGAGTCTGAATTTCGGCTCTGTGAAATGAATGTAACCCTTCAGATCTTTTTTCAACAGGTCAAAAAGAGGCCAGGCAGCACACAGAGGGTGAGTTAACCTTGACTTTGTAAAGGGGTCTTCCTGTGTTCCAGTGTCCTATGCTCTGTGAGTCCAGATTTGAGGCCATGAAGAGAAGGCTCTGAAATGTTTGCTCATTTGCTTAATTGTACATGTCTTTGTTACTCGAAAATTATTTGATTTTGGACCACAGACCACACATTTGGGAGACAAACTGCCACCCCTAGCCGTCTCTTACAGAAGAACAAAGTTAAATGTATGCAATTCAAGGAGGCATTCCACACCTCTGAATTTGTTCCCTTTCCTGCAAAGTGGGCATAGTGTCTTCCCTACAAATTACACAGTAACCGTGAAGTTCAAATAAGACAATGTATGCACACACACTTTCAAAAGTCAGAAAAATTAACATATAAATGTGTATTTCCCCAATAGCAGCAGTTCATGAGCACTCACATGGGATTTGCAGATTTGTTGAGTGCTGAGGACGGAGCGTGACAACCTGTGAGTGCCAGGGCAAGCTTGGTGGGCCGGGGAGAGTTGAACAGCTCATTCTCCCAGAGGACTCCTGGGTTGAGAGCCAGCCAAACAATTAAAGCCTGGTGTTCTTGTAGGATGTGGAGAATAGAAAATACTTTTGAAGCCATGACCTCATCTGATTCTTATAGCATCCTTATGAAGATGGAAGAGTAGGCATTCTCGCCCCCCATTTTATGGTGGAAGAAAAGTGAACCACAGAAAAGGGAAACATCAGATGCAAAGTCATTTTTGTGCTAAGGGTGGGGGCAGAATTCTGAGTCTATGAAACATATTCTGTGGTGCAGGGCTTAGCCAATGAGCTTGGGCTGGATTTCAGGGTACCTTTCCCTTTCAGGACGCTCTTAGGAAGGATACAGTCAAGGGAGAAGGAGCACAAATGGTGGTGGGTAGGGAGGCTGATGAGGCCCTGCTGCCCCGAAGGAGGTCCTGGAGATTGCTGACCTGATGCTGTGGTTGTGTCCATCCTGCTGCGAGTAGCCACGATAAAAAGTTAATATCCAATTTCAGTGGGAAGCCATAGCTAACTGTAATTACTTGGGTGTGTGGATAGTAACGGCTGATGCAATTATAATTCCAAGGTCATGGGGAAGTGCACTCAGCAAGAATTTGTACTAGAATTGTCCGTTTTCCTTTGTTACCTAGATTTTTATGGTGGTCCCTGGCATTAACTTTCTCCTGTTATTACTCTTGTAGATATTTAGAGGTGGGGCTCCAGGCTAAGCAGGGAGCTCTGGGGCTCTCTAGTCTGTACTGGGGGTCACTGAGGTTTGCATTCCTTGTCCCACTCTTTCTAATTCTGTTCCCAAGCAATCTCAGGTCCTGGCTGCTTTATCCTGCCTCACCTTTTCAGATTTTTTTTCCATCTTCAAAATAAGAAGGAGAATGAAGGCGATTTCCAAATTTTCCATTGTGATTTGGAGGCCCACCTAGGAGGTGGTAGATCCAGGCCCTGGAGCAGCTGGCAGGACTGTCTGGCCAGGGGTAACAGCTGTTTGTGCTTCTCACTCAGTGGCCATTAGCAATATGTGAGTTTTAGAGTTGTAACGATGGTACATGAACATCATCAAATGAACAGACAGTTCTTCAGTATCTCTAGCCACATCCACTTCAAGTGCCCGGTATCTGCAGGGACACCAAACTATCATATGGGACAATGAGATGTCAAGTATTTCCATGCCCACATAAAGTTCTGTTGGCTTAACACTGAACATGATCCTGGGAGGAAGCTGGCTTGTTCTGGGTGAGCCTGGGAATGGAATCCCAGAGAAGTTTGGGGTCCAGTCATACTTGGCCTATAATCTTGAATCTGTCAAAATTATGTGACTTTGGGCCAGTCATTTGTTGTTGTTGTTTTGAGACAGGGTTTCTCTCTGTAGTTTTGGTGACTGTCCTGGATCTTGCTCTGTAGACCAGGCTGGCCTCAAACTCATGGAGATCCTCCTGGCTCTGGCTCCTGAGTGCTGGGATTAAAGGCATGCGCCACCACCGCTGCCCGGCTGGGCCAGTCCGTTAACCCTTCTGAACCTCTGTACAATGGAAATGTGAGCATCCTACTGCAGAGTATTAAATGGTTTGGGATAGTTATATTGAGTATTAAAATAAGTAAGGAGAGGTTGGGATTGTCATCCTTGGTGACAGTGCTACCTCAGCAAAGTGCCCTAATGGATAACCCTGGGGAGAGCTATCTATGCACAGACCTTTCCTGTTGCCCAATCACCTGGGCATTTTAGAAACCGTTGCTTCGTCTGCCTCCAATGCTGCACACAAAGGAAATGGCTGCTTGTCTATTTCTCCCTATTCTCTTTTCTTGTTCCCACTCCACCTCCATGTCCCACCTGTTATCCTCTGAGGGTGGCCAAATTTAGCAAATAAAAACACGGGATTCAAGTTAAACTAGAATCTCACATAAGCAACAAATGGCTTTTATAGCACACGCATGTCTCATTCAATATTTGAGACAGATGTATATTTAAAATAGTTAGACTGAAAAGGAGGGGTCGGTTACGGAGGGGTGTAGTTTGGGTGGTTCTCTATTTTGATTGAT